CCCCAACCTAGCATTGCCAAATAAAGAAACACTTGCAATTCAAATACGATTGTTATCGATGGACACAGACCATTGTTACTACCCGTTAACTGGCTAATTGGGTGAATTTTGCGCCTGTTTTATTGAATAATACCGGGTTTGTTAACGATTACGTCAACTGCTACAAACAATCAACACAGTTACTAAATATTCCCAGCTTCATGTTTCAGAATACACTACATCATAATAATACAGTCTTGTATGTCGTCAAACTATTCTCTACATGAGGTATTCACGTTTTCTTTTCTCTTTTTTAGCGTCTTAATTTTCTCGTAGCTAACAAATCTGTCAACAATTTTTCTGTTCCTAAATCTATGGTGAAAAGAGTAGAGAATACAATTTCGGATGTCAGAGGGTTGTCCAATCAGACTGCGCGAATTGACGGTCTCTAAAGCTGGTCTCAGACACGGTCTCATTCCCGGTCTATGTGGCATCCGAGAGTCTCTAAATCGGTCTCAAACACGGTCTCAAATGGCATCTTCCTCTGTGGGCGAGTCTCAAAACTGGTCTCAAATGCCTTCTAGAGGGTACCGTACATACCTCCACTCGGCAAGTATATTCATGTACCTCAAGGGGAAAATATCGTACTTCTAAATATTGTTTATTCCGAAAAACTGTACTCCTGAAGGGACTACTTTCTTTGCTCTCAGACCTCATTTGCACATGGGTTGTGGAAATACCGATTTTGATTTCAGGGACGAATCAAAATAAACTGCAGTACATATGTAATAATTTATTTTATCTATTATAACAAGTTTCACATTACTCAATAACATACATACATTGTTTGCTGAAAAAAACAACAAAATACACTCAGTAAATGTTATTTTCAGCCATGGATACTCTTTTTAGTTGAACCGTGTTTCAGCAGTGTGAATCACTCAAATTATCGAGAATAACATTTTTGAAATGAATTGAGAAATTCTCAAACGCAAGTTATTTGATCACTCTACAGATAAAAATGTCAGAGTGCCGTGGAAATGACTGAAATTACCTTCTCACGAACGTACCACACCTATTCACAAGCCACACAGCTTTGTTTAGAGCGTTTTCGGTTAGCATTGGCGTGGAACACGTAGAAGTGCTTACAGCGTAGAACGCGCTACAGCGTTTCAGTGGCGGCTTTGACGTACATTTTTGCTCCATATAAAAAATACCCTATACATCAAAACAGAGTATCTTACTTAATATCCATTCTGGCACGTTCACTGCCTATTTCGGATGGCTAAAGTTCCTTCAAAACCCTGAAAGCAACAGCGGTCAGAGCAGCCCCAGTGCAGCGAACGACAATTTGTTGTGCGCAGTATCGTTGCGCAGTAGTTTCAGTGACGTCATCCATATGATATACCCATGTAATATCCACTTGGCGGGCAATATACCATGTAATATCCATTTTTATTCCATGTCATGTGACCGAGTCTCAACCAATCACAGCATGCGTAACAGCAGTGAGATGTGATAAACTGGTTTATACTGATGATTCTGGCCTACCACCTCTATAATGAAAAAGCTTGGGGACAGAGAATCTAAAACCTTCATCTGATTCTAAAAGAATGGAGAAGCTAATTTGTGGAATTGGCAAAGGACAAATGTTATTCAAAGGACAACATTATACATGTACTTAGATTACCTTATAATATGTAGGTACATAAGAAATAGGGGGATTGGCGTGCATTACCGGTATTTAAAAAGTGGAATACAACTCGCCCAGAAGTTCTACTAATAAGGGTAAACAATAAATCATTAATAAAATGTTGTAGGCACAATCTGTATATAGTTCAAAGATAGCCTTTATAAAAATTAAATTTTCACAGCTTTCGTCCACCGATTTCGCACCTTCGGATCGATTGACAACTTGTAAATACTGACTATACGTATTACTGCAACCGCCCACAACACAACGTTTAACCATCATAAATGTTTGTTGTGAAAGCAGCTTCTAAAAATTCACTCTCTCAAAAATAAAATAAAATAGACAAAAAAAAAAAAGAAACTCTGATCAAAAAATGTATATCGTTTAAAAGTATGTTGATACAGTGATATAAAAGTACGGCCCAGAGATATGGCTTCCTTTCATATTTTAGCATTTGGTGGCGCACTTTCGGTGAGAGTCGGAAATCCGGAAACAGTCGACCGTTTCAGGATAGGTGGGCGTGACTACAGCACGGGAAATATCTCAAATTTACTTGGATACGATTAATCATTTTCAGCAAAAAAATCAATAATTGCTCATTTCAGTGGGGCACAGATCTAAAATGGGAAGCGTGTGGGTGGGCATTGCACAGGCACTTTAAGTCAACTCCCATATTGTCCTTCACAGTGAAAAGTAATGCAGATATATTGTAAATTACACAGAGGTAACACTACAATACATTTCCCTTCACATTCCCCTGTATTACATAACAATCTTTGAGCTGAGGCAGTTATGGTTCTACAACCATCACCAGTTCTCTTGTACTTGATGAAACCGCCAGCCATGCACAGTGCGACGAGGTTTAGCACTTGTATGGCTTCGTTGTATTATTTTTGAAAATTTGGAAACCTCAATTTTGGTTATTTTTGTCACAGTACCACTGTATACGGTTTACGGCTTTTTTTTTTATTGCGTGCTCTTATGCGTGCCAGCTTCTAATGCATGCCAGGTTAAAGGTTAAATGCCAAGGGTCAATGTTATACATTTCCAATTCTAGATCTAGATCAACGTTTTGAGTATAAAGGTTGCTGGAAGTTCGCTTTCCCCTTATATAGGTAAGTAGTTCTGACATTGTCGTACGTGTTTCGCGTACGATGGATTTCGCACACGCAGTCACTGGACTGGCGTGGAATCACAGTACATGCTGTGTATGTAATTGTATCTCAGTCCTAGGATATCTGAAATTGTATTGTTATTTATGATTGATGAATACTAGTAGTTGAGTAGAGATAAAGATTTGAACTTGACTTTGTATCAACTGAGACAAACGGTTTAGAGAAAGGCTCTCTTAATTTTCATACTAAGTAATTGAGAGCGCTGTTCCGTTCGGCCCTGAATGAACAGGATTGAAATCGGGCGGACCATGTGAAGAGGTGGGGGGGGGGGGCAAGGGGGTAGCTGGTACAGTTTTACAGGGAATAAAAAGGGCTTTTTATAATTTACAAGGAAAAAAAAGACGTCTTTACAGTTTACAGTGAAAATTGAATTTTGCAGTGAATTGTGTCATCTAGTCGTTACAGTTTCGAAAATGTAATTTCCTTTAATTATTCTTTACGACTTTTTTTATTTGTATGTAAATTCTTGTACGTACCAAGAAAAATGACACATTTTTACAGTGTACGAAAAAAATATTTGATTGATTACGTTGTACGTCTAGCCTGTGATTACAGAATTACAGAATTTTTCAATTTACGTTGTACGGACAAAAAAATATTGCAATTACGTTCAACGAAAATAACCCTTGCCCCCCCTCTGTTAACGCATCAGAGATAATCTCCTGCTAATCAGTAGTTTGTTTGTTTGTTTGTTTGTTTGTTTGTAGCAGTAGTTTGGCACTGATAGAATGCTGTTTTGTGTAAACGTAGCAATAGAAATTCAGAATAATGTGAAAATATTACCGGTAATTTAGTTTCGATATTTTGATATTTTATCATGTCAAGGATTTATATGTATAAGGAAAGAGGATGTATAACTATAACTATTATCATGTACAATGAAAATAGCATCACATCTGAATATAGATATAGATCCAAAACCAAAAGTTTACATACATGTCACTCTTGAAATAAATAAACTGTGAATTTTCAAATAGGTTCCCAGAAATATATTCCAATTGATGGAGCATTAATTCATGCAAAAAAAAAATGTTTTTGTTTCAGCAGTTTTTAGGAAATTACAAGAGTTTATGTAATGGCAAGTGCCGTCATAGATAATGCAAATAATGCACCCTCTATAGCCCTCTATAGTGAACCAGAAAGTTGTGTTTTTCAGACTTGGTGGGAGGGTTTTCTTGAGTTACTTCACGCTATTATCATAGTTCACTTCAATATCTTGAAATTAATTGGGTCTAATGTGAACAGCCAAGATGCACTGGGATGACGTCTGACAGCACTGCTTCGATCTAATTTAAGTCAACATTAGCCATTGTGTGGCGCAGTTTCAAAATGAATCAGTCTGACAGCACAGCAAGCGACATTCTAAACATTCAACCACAACTTAGTAATTACCTTTACTTATTTCAAATGTACTTACAATATGCATTGAATTTTAGATTTTTATTGACCTGAATATATGTTGTTAAACTCAAAATATGCTGACTGGTTCCAACTTGGAGCTAACAAGAACTTAGCTCTATGTACCATTTTACATTGCCTGGAACTGGTATTGCATGTGATCAACCAAAAGATTGTCTGCTAGTATTGTGTATATTATCCAGTATTTGACATATTTACAGCACTTGTAAAGACACTGGTGTGAACACAAGATTATGAGATTCTTATTATTTTGATTACTGGGAACATTCCTTTCTAGTGAGAACACTGTATTCAGCTATGGTATGCGCCCTCTATGTGTGTTTTATTATAGATTATTACGATGGATGAGAATGGTGCTATTAATAGATGTTGTGAACCTCAGATTAAATTGGTAAGGTTGAGTGCTTTTTACCTTGCCCGTATCATCAAAGATGGAATGGAAAGGTATATTAAGGGAAAAATTACTGTTCGTCATTTTCATTGTCATTAATAATTGTTATTGTGTGCACAATAACTTTACCTTATTCATCAGTATAAAGACTTCTCTGAGTATGAACGACAGATGCCCTGTATGAAAATATCATGCAAAAATTGAGACAATCTGATAAAATATTTTGACTGTTTCTTCTTGACTGATCAATGGTAATACTCATTCAAAGATCACTGATCCCAATGGGAATATGCATTGTTGTATGTGTTCAATGAAGCAAATCATTTATCTTATAATAATATCCCAAATCCAATGGGAATAGACTGGACTGGGTTTCAAAACCAACTCATGGAGAGATTGCACAGTCTGATACACATTTGCAAACCTACCAATAAATCTTTACAGGAAACAAGATGTCAGAAAATCAATATAAACACTCCTATGAATTGGGTGCCAAGCTTTTGATCAAGATCTGAAGCCGATAAAAAATTTGTTTAGTCCAAAGTTATCAAAACAAAAACAATGCAAAAATACATAAAGGCAAAACATTGCATCTACATTTTGAAAGGAAAATTGTACTCAAAAATATGTATTCTGTATTTGACAAACAGTTCATTCGACAAACGAAAATAAAATTCACAGGAATTTGTTTCAGCTGTTAGAACAGAATGATAGAGCTTTTATAATACTAATTTAAAAACGCGCTTTAAAAACAAAGATTGCAGTGTTTGAAGATGTAGATTTTCAGGAGGCAACAGGTTTTGAAGATCATAAATATTTTCATACAGACATATTTAAATTAATGCGTTTACCCTTTTCACCACCAGACTCCCTTTCCCACATTTGCACTTCTTATATTCTTCAATATTTCTGGAATGAACGCTAATTTTGGAGACAACAGACAAAATTTGAATCAATTTTTAGTTTTTACTCAAACAATTTTTCTATTTTTGTCCCAATCTTCTGTAGGATAGTGTAGGACTATTTTGTGAATTTGTGATGAAACAGGGAACTGGTGGTGAAAAGGCTAGTATAATTATGTATCATAATCTTTGCAGGCTGGTTCACATCAATATAAATTTCCTATTCAAGATGAGAAGTTGAGTTGCTATGACGATGCTGAGAAAAATCTAAGATGTAAACTAGCATCTCTGTACAGATTAGTAGATTTCCATAGATGGACACACTCTATTTACAATCATATTACAGTAAGCAATATACGTTGTTAAAATTGACTCTTGAGCTAGTCTTAAATATTTTTGTCATGTGCAGTGTAACAATTTTTTTTTTAGCCTGCCAGAAATTTACGTGATGTAATAATTTGATGGTGTATGGCGTAGGGATTATTGTCTTTTAAGCACTCCACTGCTCTATATATTGATAATATCAGATATTGCATGAAGGGACGTCTGCATTAATTGAATACTGTCACATTGGATCTTGTTAACAGATTCTGTCTAAATAGAGTAATGTAAAATACTTTATTTTAGCTGGAATTAATTTTCACTATAAAAAACAATTTTTGGGTGTTTCGTATGGATTTTGTTTTACTGATTTCTGACGTGTTGAATGTAAAATATAGGAAAAAAGGTATATTCGCTGGATTTTATTTTTATTGAATCATTCCTTCATCGAAAATAGCATAAATTAATTGTTTGTTTTTTGCAGGCAAGAGTATCTGAAGATGATGAACATTTCTTGATAAATCCATTTGGTTTATATTATTATGAAATAACGGGGTCTAGCCTAGTGAAGATAGATATCAATGGCGATACATTGGATTCTGGTTCCACTGATTATGGTGTCAACAAAGCTGGTTGGACATTGCATTCTGCAGTACATGCAGCAAGACCTGATATTCATTGTGTCATACATTTACATACACCCGCTGGGGCTGCGGTAAGTGCTATTGTGTAAATTGGGGTATGATATGGCAGCAGATGTTTACACCATTTGTGTTCAGTGATGAGTTTCAATTACTGTTGCTCTATAGTGTTTCCAATATAAACATTGAATGCGCCAATTTTAGTGATAATTCTAACGTTGAGAAGAGTGTCAATACATTTTAGAATGAGTGCTGATACAGTTTTTGTTTATGCTAATAATATGAGGTTATTACGAGGATACAGCAAAGTATGCACAAAGACATGATCGATCGCCGTGCAGCGGAGATCGATGCAACAGCACACTGTCTGAGTGCATATCCTTGTAATAACCTTATTATTATACATCCTTTCCTTCCAAGGATACGTCATGGTAATGCCGAAATCCAAAAAGACTAGAACAGAATCAGCGAACTTCTTTGTGTGGAGTCCAGTCAAACTCTGGTGGCAGCCATGTTTGTTTTTATTTATAGAGGACGGTTGCGCACGTAATCATTCTATATTTGGAATTTGCATTTTCTTATATGGTAGGATGAATAGACCCTGTAAAATACTGCAAAATTATGGCAGGCTGTAACTATGGCGTTACAGTGACAGATGTATAATAATAAGAGGTTATTACAAGAATACCACAAAGTATGCACGAAGACACTTTAGCAGAAGTTTTGACTGATGCGCAGTGAAGGTCGATGCGACTGCGTACTGTCTGTATATACTGTAAATGCATTCACTGAGATTTAATTTGCTATGTTCGTTGATGAGTGTTATTTGCTGAACTAAATCAATAGGTACAGGTAACAAAACAAAATAAATTGTTTTCCTGGCAAATTCTTGAACTTAAAACTCAAATAGTGAAATTAAAGGCCAGTGAAACAAATTATTTTACAGTACCTGTGAAGTTTGATATTACCGTCTCATATATACCGGATTACAAGCCACAGAAAGAAAAATGCTAAGAAGAATAAAAAAAACCTTTGTTTCTGTCAGATTAATGTGTCTACTGATCCTAGCAATGTTTGGTGTGTATTGTGTTAAAAAAAAAGAGATGTGTAACCCAGATATTATTTTCACGATAATATTAATATTAATTAATAATAATAATCACAGCTGCACTGATTTCTATAATGGCCAATCGTTAGCTAGCATTTATTCCACTAAAAGCAGTCCAAATGTCGCTGCTACGAACATCATTTGATGATTTTATTGTTTGTTTTGGTTAAAAAGGTTATTTGATTTTCATTGAACAATAAATCCACGATAAACGATAAATGTGGTTTGTAGTTCACGATGACATTTTCTAAGATGGTGAATAAGGAAATCTCAATTAAGTCATCTTAGAATATCAGATTTATTAAGTCAGGTATTTAAAATTGTAATGGTTGCCAACACAACTGAATTCCATGTTGATACATCAAATCATATCTAACCCATCCTGTAAAATATGTTGACTGTGGGCTCTGGACTGATGCACAGACTTGTTAAGTTTGGGATAAATACCATGCATATTAATTACCTAATTTGCTTAATATTTAGTAATTTTTTTATTTTCATGGCTTCAAAGATGTATTGGTAACATAATTACTAATTTTGAAATAAATTCAATCCATGCCCTTTTCACAATCGTTAAGAAATGGGCTGACAACTGGACTTAAGTAAAACACATCTTTGTGCTTGTTCAGGTTGGGAGAATTTAAAAATATGTTTCCTTGCATATACCTCCTTTATAACACAAACACTTTTTGGCAGATATCTGAAAAATCAAAAAAACTCCTAAAAACTCTTGACCAAATATAACACATTGAGATGATAGCTATTTCAACCGTGATGTCAAAAGTTCAATCTGCTTGCATCGACCAATCAAATTACTTATTAGTCCCCGTTCGGACGCAGTCCGAAAGCGGGGACTTATGTTTTGACCTCCGTGTGTCCGTGCGTGCGTGTGTGTGCGTGCGTGCGTCTGTGCGTGCGTCCGGACCTGTATCTTAGAAATGCCTGGACCAATCAAAATCAAACTTCACACATACATCATACATGATATTATACATATGCACGTCAATTTGTTTCTTGATCTGATTCAAGATGGCTGAATGGCGGTCATTTTTGTGCTAAAAAAATCCTAAAAATCAAGCATTTCTCAGCTGTTTACAGATGGACTTTGTTCAAACTTGGTATATACATTAGATATTATGGGACCTTGATGCAAATAATTTTGTTTTTCAGATAAGATTCAAAATGGCCGACTGGCGGCCATTTTGTTTTAATGAATGGGCTTCTAGACCCATATCTCCGACTTGTTTTGACTGATTATATTCAAATTTTAAATATTCATTATACATCATGTCATAGATAAACAAATATATTGGTTTGACGATCCTATTCAAAATGGCCGAATGGTGGTCATTATTGTGCTAAAAAATCATCAAATATCAAACATTTCTGGCATGTATGGATGGATTTCGTTCAAATTTGGTACATACATTAAACATTACAGGTTCCTGGTGCACGTCATCTTATTTTTCAGATTGGATTCAAAATGGCTGACTGGCGGCCATTTTGTTTTAATGATTGGGCTTCTAGAGCCATATCTCTTAAATGCTTTGATTGATTATATTCAAATTTTATATATTCATTATACATCATGTTATATATATATACATGTATTCAAAATGGATGATTTTGAATGCTGTTCCAGAGCAATATCTTTCAATATGGACAAGTACTTTTTTGACGATCAGATACAAATGTCAATCATTTTAATGTTAAAAAATCATATTCCTGACATGGTTATATTCCAGCTATATTACTATAAACAAAACTATATATCTTAAATTTGATAACTAACGGGGACTGTGCCATGCATGGCTTGTTGTTGTTGTCTTGTTTGATATAGGTTTCTTGCATGAAGTGTGGACTGTTGAGATGTTGTCAGGAATCTCTGATTATCGGTGAAGTGGCATACCATCCGTACAGTGGTATATTGGTAGATGAGAAAGAAAGACAATTAATAGCTAAGAATCTTGGAAAATCAACAAAGGTAAGTTTAGGTATCACACCATCAATACTATTCAGCTTTTGAGTACTTATACAGTCAAACCAGTGTATAGAGGGTCGCACTAGTTTAGGTTCTGCACACATGCGCGCAGTTACTGATTGGCAGGAACCGGTCATTTGCACAAGATAAAATAACAGCGTTGTTTTTGCAGCTGTTATTAATTATACACGTGTTACATGTCTTCCTGTTAATAAAAACAACTTACGGGCAATATTATCGTGAGCCGATGTTGATCAGCAGGTGAGATTTGTTATCAGTTATTCAAAACTTACGGGCAATATTATCGTGAGCCGATGTTGATTAGTGAGTGAGATTTATTATCAGACATTCACAACTTACGGGCAATATTATCGTGAGCCGATGTTGATCAGTGAGTGAGATTTGTTATCAGACATTCACAACTTACGGGCAATATTATCGTGAGCCGATGTTGATCAGTGAGTGAGATTTGTTATCAGACATTCACAACTTAGGGCAATATTATCGTGAGCCGATGTTGATCAGTGAGTGAGATTTGTTATCAGACATTTACAACTTACGGGCAATATTATCGTGAGCCGATGTTGATCAGTGAGTGAGATTTGTTATCAGACATTCACAACTTACGGGCAATATTATCGTGAGCCGATGTTGATCAGTGAGTGAGATTTGTTATCAGACATTCACAACTTACGGGCAATATTATCGTGAGCCGATGTTGATCAGTGAGTGAGATTTGTTATCAGACATTCACAACTTACAGGCAATATTATCGTGAACCGATGTTGATCACTGAGTGAGATTTGTTATCAGACATTCACAACTTATGGGCAATATTATCATGAGCCGATGGTTAATGCAGGTGGTCTATATAAACGTGGTCACTATAGGCAGGTGGTCTTTATATAAAGGTGGTTACTATAGACAGGTGATGTATATAAATGTGGTCACTATCGGCAGGTGGTCTTTATATAAAGGTGGTTACTATAGACAGGTGATGTATATAAATGTGGTCACTATAGGCAGGTGGTCTTTATATAAAGGTGGTTACTATAGACAGGTGGTCTATATAAATGTGGTTACTATAGGCAGGTGGTCTTTATATAAAGGTGGTTACTATATGCAAGTGGTCTATATAAATGTGGTCACTATAGACAGGTGGTCTTTATAGAAGTGGTCATTATAGGCATGTAGGTGGTCTTTATATAAAGGTTTGACTGTACCATACTTTTAATACTGTTTTCATGTCTTTACCCAGATTATGATTCTACATAACCATGGTCTAGTAGTATGTGGAGAGACAGTGGAGGAGGCTTATTATCTTTTGGTTAATCTAATGGCTGCCATGGAAACACAAGTAGGGATGACATCAATCATTTATTTAATTATCATAATTACTGTGTGATGGCTATGATTTCATCAGTAATTTTTGTTAGAATCATTTAAATTAGATTCATGGCATGTATATATCATATTTCAAATTAAATATTTACTCGAAAAGTAGTGGTGTGGTATAATATACCAAAATATAGCAAATAGTATTTTGAATAATTAACTTTGTTGTGTGATAGGTGCGACTGATGTCGTGTGGTGGTCTGGATAATATGATATTAATGGATGAAGATATGGTGCAAAAAGTAAGATCTGTTGCTGGATTGGGCGGGGGTGGAGTCAGTAAAGATTCAACTGAATGGAAGTTTGGACAATTAGAATATGAAGCGGCCATGCGAATGCTTGACAATATGGTAAGTAACCACTCACACTTTGTTTAAGAGATTTAGAGTCTGATATATAAATAGTTTTAGAAATAAAACTAGATCAAACAAGTAATTGAAAATGACAGTCCCCGTAAAATTTTTGAAAGTTCTCTTTGTGCTCGTCATATTAAAGCAGAGGGGTTGTCGCGAGCGTGTCCTTGAAACTTCAAGAGATTTAGAGTCTGATATATAAATAGTTTCAGGAATAAATCTAGATCAAACAAGTCATTGAAAATGACACAGTCGCCGTTAAATTTTTGAAAGTTCTCTTTGTGCTTGTCATATTACATCAAAACTTGTGTTCCGTGTAGTAGTAATATGGCCAAAAATAAAAACAGCCGTTATTCGGCAATCTTTGATCTGATTATGAAACACACTGATATGTATGATGTATGTGCCAAATACGAATGAAAATGGTACATAAATTGTGGAAATATAGTAGTAAGGCCAAAAAGTCAGATGGCTGTCAATCGGCCATCCTTGACCAGATTTTGAAACAAATTGTCATGGACATGCATCCTAACATGTATAAAGTACATGTATGTGCCAAATCTGCATGAAAACTGACAAACCACGTCCAAGATACCGCATATAAAAAAAAAAAGATGCCTGCCAGTCGACCATCTTTGATCCAATTGCCAAATAAATCGTCATGGACATGTATCCTAACATGTATAATCTATGTACCAAGTTTGAATGACAACTGACAAAGCATGTCCAAAATACACCATTTTCAAAAAACAAGATGGCTGCCAGTCGGCCTTTTTGAATCGAATCGCTAAACCACTGCATGTGCGTATGTCCCGCATAAGGTACTAGGCACATGCAAAGAATGAACGGATTCGGTCCACAGGATTCTGAAATATGACTCTGGACAGACTAATGGACGGACAGACTCACGGACGGTCGGGGACATGTATCCTAACATGTGTGATCTATGTACTAAATTTGAATGAAAACTGACAAAGCATGTCCAAAATGCAACATTTTCAAAAAAAACAAGATGGCTGCCAGTCGGCCATCTTTGATCCAATTGTGAAATAAATCGTTATGAACATGTATCCTAACATGTATAATCTATGTACCAAGTTTGAATGAAAACTGACAAAGCATGTCCAAAATACAACATTTTCATAAAAAAAAGATGGCTGCCAGTAGGCCATTTTAAATCGAATCGCTAAACCACTGAATGTGCATGTGTCCTACATAAAGAACTAGGCACATGCAAAGAATGAACAGAATCGGTCCGAGGGATTCTGAGATATGACTCCGCACGGAAGGAGACCGAATTATAAGTCCCCGTTTTCGGACTTCGTCCAAACGGGGACTAATAAAATAAGTGTTATGCAATTGTGAGTGAGGTAATTAGTAAAAGAAATATGTATATTAAGTAGTGTTTGAGTTAACTAGTAACAGTAATGTGAGTTAACTAGTAACGATAGTGTGCGAGTTAACTAGTAACAGTAATGTGTAAAATTTCATTAATTATTAATTCATGGTAGTAAAAAGTAATAATAATTTATCCAAAAGAACAAATTAATGATACAAATGGGAATTAGTTTTTTCATTTGCTCAAATTAATAGAATAATTTTGGGGTGATTCAATAAATAGTGATTTATTTTTTTTCCTATGAAAATAAATAGAGACAGACGCAACATTTTCCATGATAATCTAACATCAATAAGTTTAGTGAGAACTTCATGTGTACATCAACAGTGTCGTTTTGTTGCAGCTTTGTAGAAAGTACATAAATCTGCCCAAAGTAATGCTGTAACATCCAAGTTAAGCCCAAGATTGACATTCAAAAAAAGTATGTTCTTTTATCTGGCACATGCTGAATGGAAATTTTCTTTCAGCCAATTTTATTGCATGGGGTGCTCAACTAAGCACCTACCACCCTAAAAAACATGATTTTTGTGAGCTGACTACCCTTGGCCCTAAGTAAATATGGTACTTGTTTTAAAACAGGACAGGGAATACAATATTGTTTTATGCAATGATTTGCGTCATTATTAATTTCAACAAGAAATACAAATAATAACAATGATTTTGTTGATGTAATGCAGACACGATCTGCTGGCACAGATTTCAAAGAAAGAAAATAGCAGATTACAACACACAGTACACTAAAAAGTAGTTTATTGATTAAATCACGTAATCAGGCAATTTAATCATCTGCCAGCTATCATAAAAGTATTTCTGTATTTTTGACATGACTGACATTGTTTTGCAATTTATTGTTCAGAGCTGTAAAACACTTAAAAAGGCATACATTGTAACAGTTTGAAAATAATTTGTATTTGTTTTTTCTTACAGGGATTGAAAACTGGTTATCCTTACAAGAAAGCTATTAAAAGCAAGCAGTGAATTTCTGTTACAAATCTTGATTTATAACAACTACCCTCACAGTTTAATGTATGGGAACTCTCCTCAGTTTAATTTATTTTCGGGGGCAGAGCTACGTCACAAGACATGCACCACTGTACCATACATTTCTATGGTTTTGCGCGAGCTGATTTGGAACGTCGGTTGAAGAGCCGGTGAAAATAGCTAAATTCGAGAAAACAGTTGAAAGTAATCAAAGTAAACAACTAAATTTATATATGTTGCACACACAGGGGTAATCTTTTACACTGTTCAGGGGAGTCTCAACAACCATCCCAAAGTACCGTTTTCAGCCATTGTTTTCACTGGGATGATTGCCAGGCGGTGAAATAGCCTGGATGTCCGCCCCTGAGAATAGCAGCTTGACATTTCTGTAACTGTCCATGGTGCTAAAATGTGGAACTCACTTCCTAACCGAATGAAGGAGTTCAATGATTTGTATTCTTTTAAGCAAATGGTGTCATTGTGGTCACCATAATTTTAGGATATTTTAATTACTTAAATAAATAATTATTTGTGAAGTCTTACTGTTGTTTGTCTTTGTGTTCGATGTTTGTAATTTTTGCTTTTGTTTGATATAATTTTTAGTAGTCAGTAATATTAGCCTTGGTATTTCAAACTTTAAATAAATAAATTGAATTGAGGTTATTAGTAAGCACAAAATTCAACCCTAAACTGAACATGTACATGGCTTATCCCTAAGCATCTACATATGTAGAGAGTTCCATTTAATCTGATGAGTGGTTGAGATATTGGTTAATTTAATATGTAATAGGGTTTCAAACAAAAACTAATCTAAGGTTTGCAAATTATCCAAGAGCACGTTTCATTAAAATATGTTGAATGGTACTTGAGAAACAAGCGAAAATACTATTGAATTCACTCCAGTTAATGCAGTATGCCCTCATCTGTTCTGCTGGGCCAACCATCTGATCAGGTAATGAAATTGACAATCTGAGCATTGTTCGAATATCTCAAGAACAAATTATCAGATTTAAATTAAACTTGGTGCATAAATCCTCTGGGATAATTCTCAACCCTGATTAGATTTTGGTTGAAATCCATGCATATTAATTACCTAGTTTGCCTATCAATTAACCAGATTTAAAAATTTTCACTTGTTTCTCATGTATTATTAAATAGATTTCAATGAAACTTGGTACATAGATGTTCTAGGATAATGCACAATACTGATTAGTTTTGGTTGAAATCCTGTGCATAATAATTAACCGATTTAAAGCACTGGGCCAAAATAACTATCATAACATAGTTGTTTCAAAAAATAAGGTATTGCTACACAAGAAATTAATTCACCAACAAAATTGGGGACTACCCCTGTACTGTTTCCAGTGCTTTTTAAAATGTGTAAGGATACAACTTCAATTACAGGTGTAAAACTATATACAAAATATAGTTGAATGCTGGTGACCTTGCCCTTTGTTTAATATTATTTCCTTTATCATAGGTCAGCACATATAATACAGTTACACATAGATTGGGTCACAATGCTGACATCTGTCAGTGGTCAGCATACACAGTACAGTCACGCATAGATTGGGTCACAATGCTGACATCTGTCAGTGGTCAGCACACACAGTACAGTCACGCATAGATTGGGTCACAATGCTGACATCTGTCAGTGGTCAGCATACACAGTACAGTCACGCATAGATTGGGTCACAATGCTGACATCTGTCAGCACACACAGTACAGTCACGCATAGATTGGGTCACAATGCTGACATCTGTCAGTGGTCAGCACACACAGTACAGTCACGCATAGATTGGGTCATAATGCTGACATCTGTCAGTGGTCAGCATACACAGTACAGTCACGCATAGATTGGGTCACAATGCTGACATCTGTCAGCACACACAGTACAGTCACGCATAGATTGGGTCACAATGCTGACATCGGTCAGTGGTCAGCACGCACAGTACAGTCACGCATAGATTGGGTCATAATGCTGACATCTGTCAGTGGTCAGCATACACAGTACAGTCACGCATAGATTGGGTCACAATGCTGACATCTGTCAGCACACACAGTACAGTCACGCATAGATTGGGTCACAATGCTGACATCGGTCAGTGGTCAGCACGCACAGTACAGTCACGCATAGATTGGGTCACAATGATGACATCCGTCAGTGGTCAGTACACACAGTACAGTCACGCATAGATTGGGTCACAATGCTGACATCTGTCAGTGGTCAGCACACACAGTACAGTCACGCATAGATTGGGTCACAATGCTGACATCTGTCAGTGGTCAGCACACACAGTACAGTCACGCATAGATTGGGTCACAATGCTGACATCGGTCAGTGGTCAGCACGCACAGTACAGTCACGCATAGATTGGGTCACAATGATGACATCCGTCAGTGGTCAGTACACACAGTACAGTCACGCATAGATTGGGTCACAATGCTGACATCTGTCAGTGGTCAGCACACACAGTACAGTCACGCATAGATTGGGTCACAATGCCGACATCTGTCAGTGGTCAGCACACACAGTACAGTCACGCATAGATTGGGTCACAATGCTGACATTTGTCAGTGGTCAGCACACACTACAGTCACGCATAGATTGGGTCACAATGCTGACATCTGTCAGTGGTCAGCACACACAGTACAGTCACGCATAGATTGGGTCACAATGTTGACATCTGTCAGTGGTCAGCACACACAGTACAGTCACGCATAGATTGGGTCACACACGAGTATAGAGTTGTATGTAGGAATGTATTAAACAACTGATAAATACAGAAAGAAGCTCCACTTGTATATCAGTACACCAGTAGAGATGCTTGATACAAGACACTATAATAGTGTTACAGTTCGTTACATTAGTACATGTAGTATCATGTCATAGTCGGCTTCCCCACATGTCATTTAGGTCTTAAAAACATTAGCCTAAAATATTTTGCATAGTTTTGGGACCCACTCTCGCGGAGAAGTATTGTAAAAGTTTGTTTAGTACATATAAGTGAGCCTTATGCATAGGATTCCTTACAAGTCCCCTAAGATGTGAACGGTTGTTGTATTGGAATATGTGTACAATTTGTAGATATTCAAAAGCAGGAGACTGTATTCTGGCTATGACATAGTACAATTGATTAAAATTGAAACATCTTAGGTAAAAATTTGTAGTTAAAACTCAAAAAAATATATCAACACACAGTCTGAACACGATGTGAATAGCTGTCGTATTGTGGCTATTTGAAACCAAACACCATCCTGTATTGTTGAATTTTTCTACTGGTTTAATAATGGCTTCAGATCATGGAGTCCAATTACTAATTCCTCTAAATTGTAGACATTGTAACTGTGCGTCTTGGTCAATCCATGAGCCTTATATGGCTGTAAAGATACAATAAATAATATTGAGTGCCTCATAATAAACAAGATAAATTCATTCTATGGGACCATCCTACAAGGGACATATATAATAAATTCATTCAGTGGCACTTTTCTACATTGAACATACATGTATATGATGAATTGACAACTATGGGATCATCCTACAGTGGACAGGTATGATAAATTGATTCTATGGGATCAACCTACAGTGAGCATACATGATAAATTGATTCTATGGAACTATCCTAAGTGGAGAGATGATAAATTGATTCTATGGGATCACCCTACAGTGATCATACATGATAAATTGATTCTATGGAACTATCCTAAGTGGAGAGATGATAAATTGATTCTATGGGATAATCCTACAGTGAGCATACATGATAAATTGATTCTATGGAACTATCCTTAGTGGAGAGATGATAAATTGATTCTATGGGATAATCCTACAGTGAGCATACATGATAAATTGATTCTATGGGATAATCCTACAGTGAGCATACATGATAAAGTGACTCTATGGGACCATCCTACAGTGGACATATATGATAAATTCATTCAGTGGGACCATCCTACAGTGGACATACAGTGTGTATATAATAAATTGATTTTATAAGACCATTCTACAGTGGACATGTATGATAAATTTATTCTATGGGACCATCCTACAAGGGACATATATGATAAATTTATTCTATGGGACCATCCTACAAGGGACATATATGATAAATTTATTCTATGGGACCATCCTACAAGGGACATATATAATAAATTCATTCAGTGGGACTTTTCTACAGTGAACATATATAATAAATTTATTTTCCGGGAGCACTTCACATGAACATACACGATGAAATGTTCATACAGCGGACATATAAAGTGAATTCAGAGTCACTCTATAGGAACAATGGATACTTACTTGTTGTACTTTTTTCTGACATATACAACAGAAAGCACTAGTCTCTCTACTTGCTTCAAAAAGTCTGCTTTCATGATTCTGTCAAGTTATATTACATCATGATTAGTCAATGCAAGTATGTAAATGTGGAAATATATGGGGGAAATGACAGAATATTGATGAAAAAGATTTTGCTAGTACCGGGTAATGTTTTTACCAATATAGTTTCCTACACAAAGATCGTTCACACTTTTCCACACTGAAATAATATACTTGTACTGTGGAGAAGTTTATTTTAATCAAAATTCATTTTAGCCAGAGTTTTGTTGTTCTTTGGAAACAATTTTAATTATTATTATTTAAAAAAAAATGACAGTTATAAAGGAACATTCATGGCAAGCAAAAAATATACATTTAGTTGAATTCTACTAAAATAATAAATTGTAATTGTTTTTTGTTTGTTTTTTACAGTATTTGTTATTGAATATAACATAGAAATATAATCACACTGGAGACTCAATTTGCTGTATACATGTATCGGTATATGTGTAACACACAACATTTCATATCACTTAGTTACATTTCATTATTTTACTCCAAAAAATCTTTGAAACAAAATTAGGGACTTCTTTATGATGCATACAATATATGTAATTATGTAAATAGTTAACTACTAATAAACACGAATCTTTTCTAGTGATACTTGCATTTATTCCACATGTGGCAAATATGAATATCATTACAAGAAATAATGCCATGTTTCATCTAAGTACATCAAGCAACTTACTTGGATTATTTTCCAAATTTTCTTATCTTCTTTCTGTCTTATAGCCTTGGAAACCTCCATAATTAGGTTAGCACATCGTACTAGGCGTGAATGCATTGCATCTTTTAAATGTTTGGTAATCTAAATTTACAAATAAGTAATGTAAATATACTGATTACTGTTATTGTAATGTTTTTAACACAGTGACATGGGATGCATTGCCAAAGCCATATATGAGATAAAGACAATAATGTTGATCAGTCGCATAGTTAAGCTGCCATCTTATTTTGGACACAAATGACCAAATATTAAGACATTTGTTTTCATGTCAGAAGCTCTGTGTGAACAATATAATGTGCATATTTAATTCCTACAGATGCATTATATACACAAATCACTACTGACTAATGTTGTACCCAATTTGACTAAACTGTTACATGTGTCCAGGTGTATGCTAGGACCTCTGCAATGCTGTTCACAGCTTTAATATTTACATATTTTTGTTTTTGTTTCAACAAGTAGATCCAGACACATTGTTACATTTTTATCCTGAGTTTCAAAAAAACACATTAAAATATTTCATAAATTAAATCATGTTTTAATTTTTCTTCATAGAATTCTCTGTTTTACCCATTTAAGCACATAAGGTAAAAACTTGTTTATCTCACAAGGCTTTTTACAGTTGTTTAAGAAAATGGTAAATTCATGCCGTAACTGTGTGCCCACACGCTGGCTCATAGCTAACTTGTGAAAATTGTTGTTTTCTCTAAAATTAATTTTTTTAACATGACTACTAAATCTAGCCTTTCATGCTAACAGTATGCTAACAGTATGAGAACAAATGACTAAACATATTTATTTTAGATAATACAAGTTCTGACTTCTATAACTTGCACTGTGCACATTAGGAAATGTACACTAGTCGGCATATAGCAGTTTTATTTTGTGTTACAAGTGACTGTGGTCGGTCACCAGGTTTTCGCACGCAGTGATACATCGCCTCAAATTTATTATCTTTACTATTGCCACGTATTAGTAGCAGGATTTATGCAAGTGAAAATGGGAATGCACTATAATATTAATTGCTAGCACCCGCAATAAGAAAAGTCAATATTAAAAATAGTAATATTATCCAAAAAAATAAATTCTAGCAATGTACACAATTCATCTATGTACCAGATTCTTTTGGAAATGACATTAATCTTTTTTAGGTATCAGTGGAACAAACTTTGGACACATACACACATGTCTCACTCACACCTTGACGGTATACCATTAATAACATGTTAAATTACAATTGATTGAATTATAATATAGTTGAAATATGGTTGGATTGAAATGCAAATTTATATTGGGTTGTGTTTTAATGGAGTTTAATTAAACTCAATTAAATGGCAACTCTAAATAGAATTACATTTTATAATTGAATTAAGAAAAAAATTACCAATAGAGAATTAATATCTTCACATATCAAATACAAGGCTTTATTGAGCAATAAATGTAAAATCTTACCCGAGTTGATGACTTGATTTCACACAAATTACATTCTTTCGTTGAGATATCTATGTTTATCTCTCCATATGAATCCTTTAAAATTAAAAAAGAATAATCACTGGTGACTTGTGATAATTACCTGACCTCCAAAAGGTCACATATTATGGCATGTTACACGACCTCCCAAAGGTCACACATCCTGGCACTTTGCATGACCTTTAAAAGGTCACACATCCTGGCACTTTGCAAGGGGCTCAGCATTAAGCACAAAAAAATATTTATTGACTTAAAGTAGGATTTAGATCATGCTATAACCCAAATCCCCTTGGAGGAGTTGTAAGCAAAAATTACCATATGTGTACACCACCCAAAATAAGAATAACATAACACAACTTACAGCAAGCCTGAATGCCTCTGATTGGGAGTCAGGATTTGACAACTTCTTCAAAATATTCAACATCTTAAGTATTATTTCAAAATGTCTAGCAGCATTGAGATGATGAGAGGAATTCTTAACATGATCATCACCCTGTAGAAGCAAAGTCAGATTTTTGAAAAATTACATTAAAAAAGCTCAACCAGTGCCACCACAGTCTG